GTCCACACCTCGTCCCCCCCCTCCCCCCCCCCCCCCCCCAAAAAAAACCAAAACAAAACAAAAAAACCCCCCAACAACAAACAAACAAACTTTGCCTACCCTAGAGCTCAGGTTGCCTCCGCTCCTCTGGTCACTTCTCAAAGTAGTTAAACCCTGTGATGTTTCTCAGCTGCTAGGACACTCGCACCCTCTCCTGTGCCCTCTGAGCAGTCCATGATTGTTCGATGCTGGAGATCACAGGAAGGCTGAGAAGGGACATGGGTCCAGTGCGTGTGGCTACAGCATTCATTGCTTGCATGCCATGCTTGCCAGAGCTCTGCTTCTGGTCATCTTGTGTGGCCCTGCTGTACGTTGGCGATTCACGGGGGTAAAACAGCAGAAATGGATGCCAGAAGCAAAGCCCTGCTGGGAGCAAAGACTTGGCCTTGAGCAGTAGTTTCCAGGCACTCCAGTATCTGCCCTGTTGTGCGCCTGGGCGCACACCATGCACATGTGCACAGGAGCTCAGTGCAGCCAAAGGCTTAGCTGTGAAGGTCAAGGTTGGGTTGGTGCTGGGGAATTTGATGCAGCTCCCTACATTGCCATTGTCGGGGAGCAGGGTGCTCGGGGCTGCACGGTACTGACTCTTCTCCAGAAGGTCCTGGAGCCTGATGGTGGTGGGACTGGACCCTGGCACTAATGAGAGGTCACACTCGGAGCAGCCTTCCCTACTGGGTGCCTGTCCCCTTCCTGCTCTTGTCCTGAGCACATGGCTAGTGCTCTCTGCCATTGCCCAGGCTTTACTCTGGGAGGTCAGTAGGGTCATGGTGTCTTGTACGTGGAGGTACTGGGCTTCTGTCTCACGCTGACTGTCTCCTGGGTGAGCTGTGTAGGTCTGAATGGCGCACTGCAACCTAACTGACTTGTAGGCTGGAAGGCTGCGGCCTGGGGAGGGGCTGCTTTGGGAGCTGGGTGCATCCAGGGTCTGTGATAAAGCAGAGAGCAGCACTTGGATGCCAGCAGCACCTGCAGCTGTAACCCTAGATTCAGGGACAATGGAGGGGAAGACTTGAGCCCTCCCGGATTCATTGCCGCATGTATGTACTTGTGGGGAGAGCCAAGGGGCTGTGGACTTAGCTGCTTTGGCACCTGCCTTGGGCCAGGATGAGCGCCTTTGTGTGATGCTTCCCTGGGGATACTGCCGAAGCACTGAGGTCCTCTCCCTTGTCTCGCAGGTTCTCTCAGGATGTGCCATCATCGTCCGCGGGCAGCCACGAGGAGGGCCTCCCCCTGAGCGGCAAATCAACCTCAGCAACATCCGGGCCGGCAACCTCGCCCGCCGGGCCGCGGCTGGGCAGCCAGAAGCCAGGGACACCCCGGATGAGGTAAGTGTCTCTGGGTAGGTTTGGGGCAGTGTTTTTGGGGAGCTGATCTGGGGCTGCTTGTTGCTAGAATCGGTGACGAGAGAGAAGTGGGGCAATATGAGTCCTGCCTAGATGGTCTCTGATCCTGGCAGTCCCTCCCAGCCATCAGGGAGTTGCACCCCTGACCCGGCGCTCCAAAGATCTGGGACCAGTCGCTCACGATGCACATGCTGATGCTGGGCTGTGGGCAGCCAGGATGGGAGAGGAAGTGGGGCTAGAGCTTCAGAGCTGGTGCCCAGCCTTGGTAGGGCTGCTGTGCTGGCTGATATTGGGGAAGCTCTCCAGGCCGGTCCATCCCAGGGTCCTGGATGGATCATCCCTTCAGTATTACTACTTAGTCCCACTGTTCCCTCTTACGGCAATGCGGCATGAGCACGCCTGTGTGGCCCCACAGCTTGGAGGGGGAAGACAGTTTACTCCCCCAGTTTCAGCTGGGAGTGGTGACCAGTTGTCTCAGTCTCCAGAGTAGTCTGTATAGGAAATGCTCGAGAAATCGGGCTGGAAGGAGACCTCCATAGATCATCTGGTTTGCATCCTCTGCCTGAACTTGTCACAGGCTGGCTGGTTCGATACTGGTTCCCAGAGCCATCAGGTGGAGCCAGCTCTCTTTACACTCGTTCTAGGCTCACCCATCTGAGGAGGGACCAGGCCCAGCCTGGATTGCTCCCCTGCAGGACAATGGGGATGCCCAGCTGCCCTTCTCTGAGCCCCCACTGTTAAACTGCGCCCATTGGGGACAAGCCTGGGGCTGCTTTGCGATGAATACGTTTGGTTTCCAAGTAGCTTAACACTAGGAAAAACTTCAGTTAGGGTGTCCAGACTAGAGAATAAACTCCCTCCAAAGGGGGTGCAGTAATCTACCCCACAAATCTTCAAGCGGAGACTGAATGGTCACTTCGCGTGGGTCACCTGACCCCTATTTTTCCTGCTGGCTGTAGTGGGGGAGGTGGACCTGATGATCTTGCAAGGTCCTCTACAGCCTCTTACAATCTCTGAATCTCCCATGCCAGCTTACAGCCTCACATCCCCAGGGAGGGGGCGGCTGGAGGAGGGAGACTCATCCAGTGCAGAAGCCTAATTGGCTTTAGATGGGGGAGTATTAATCACAGGCAGCTAAATGCTCTTCTGGTAGTGCGTTTTCCTACTGCCCTTGCTTGGCTAAGCCCTGCGGGGTTTTGGATTGGCAGTGGAGGTCTGTCACGCAGCCGCTGCGCTCTGCCCTGAGGCTGGGCCTGGAGGGAACTTCCCAGGGTCTGCAGGAGAGCTGAGCACCAATGCTCATAGCTAAAGATGGCTTTTAGCTGTGCATGGCACTGCAGGAGCTGCCTGGCCCAGAGCCTTTTCCCCAAGCCTGGCTTCTCCCTGCACAGCTGTGTGGACCAGTCACAGGTGTCCCAAAAAGGCCAGCAGCTGGCTGGTGTGAAAGCCCTCTGGCTGCTGTTTCTGAGATGGCAGAGCATGGCTGGGGGTGGGAAGTGAGTGGGGCGTGCGTGTCAGCTGCCTCTGCCTTACCTAGAGTTGTTTTAGGGGTGATGTGTGCCAGTCTGCTCCTCTGGCCCTGTGTTTGGCTCCTGATGGTTGTAGCCTAGCTGGGCACTCGCAGAGCAGAAAGGATCTCACACGTCCTCTCCTGCCTGCTGGCCAGAGATGGGGAATCTAGCACCACACTGGGCCCTGGATACAGCCTGCTCCCCCTGCCAGCCTCTCCTCAGGGAGGTGGTCCCCTGAGCATCCAGCTGCGAGATGAGGACCTCTCCTCCAGTGAAATTCTGCCCATCAGTCATGCTAACTGTTTATTAGCTTGTCACGGTCTCCTCCGCCCCCTGCTCCCGCAGCAAAGCACTGATGCCTTGTGTGTACTGCTGCAGCTGTTCTCCACCTGAGCCCGGAGCAGGTGGCCGGGAGGGAGCAGAACCCTTATCTTCCCCCTTCAAGGAGGCAACGTGGATGCAGGCAGCTGGCCTGTTCCCTGCCCAGCTTAGCCCACAGGCATGGGGGGCTTCCACCCAGTCCTGGGGCAGGTGCCAGGCCTGGGAAATGCTTCACAGGTCTGTTGTGAGCCACAGTGTCCTGGCCCAGTGGCTTCTGGCTCTGTACCCCGTTGCATGGCTGAATGTGAAGGAGGCAGCAGGGAGGGGTCCAGTCCAAGAGCTCCTTTCCCAGCTGTGTCCATCCTCTTCGGAGTGAATGACTCCTGTTTGGCTTGAAGCAGATACACTAGCTTGAAGTGGCCAGAGGCTGGAGTAGAACAGGGCCAACGTGGTTCCCATTTTCAAAAAAGGGAGGAAGGAGGGCCCAGGAAACTATAGGCCAGTTAGTCTTACTTGATCCTGTGTAAGCTTTATGAGAGAGTTATCCTGGTGCATGTCCGCGAGGGGCTGGCAGGGGAGATTATGCTTGGGGGCAACCAACACGGGTTCATTCGAGACGGGTCCTGTCAGACCAACCTGGTGGCCTTCTACGACCAGGTCACACAATCCTTAGACGCGGGTGTCACAGCGGACGTAATCTTTCCGGACTTCAGGAAGGCCTTCGACACTGTCTCTCACCCCATTCTCATTAAACTCGGGGACTGTGGCATTGACGCCTACACAGTCAGATGGGTCGCTACCTGGCTGGAGGGCCGCACCCAGAAAGTGGTGGTGGACGGGTCATTTTCGACCTGGAGGGATGTGGGCAGTGGGGTCCTCCAGGGCTCGGTCCTCAGGCCCGCTCTGTTTTAACATCTTCATCAGGTACTTGGAAAGCACCCTGTTCAAATTTGCTGACCACACAAAGATGTGGGGGGATGTGGGCACGCTAGAAGGGAGGAATAGGCTGCAGTTGGACCTGGACAGGTTACAGGGGTGGGCGGATGAGAACAGGATGGGTTTCAACATGGACAAGTGCAAGGTGCTGCACCTGGGGAGGAAGAGCCAGCAGCAGACCTACAGGCTGGGGAACTCCCTTCTCAGTGCAGAGGCAGAAAAGGATCTTGGAGTCATTATTGATGCCAAAATGAACATGGGCCGACAGTGTGGGGACGCGGTCAGGAAGGCCAACCGCACCTTGTCATGCATCCACAGATGCATCTCGAGCAGGTCCAAGGAGGTGATCCTCCCCCTCTACGCGGCACTGGTCAGGCCGCAGGTGGAGTACTGCGTCCAGTTCTGGGCACCGCACTTCAGGAGGGATGTGGACAGCATGGAGAGGGTCCAGAGGAGGCCACTCGCATGATCAGGTGTCAGCAGGGCAGGCCCTACGAGGAGAGGCTACGGGACCTGAAGCTGTTCAGCCTCCACAAGAGAAGGCTGAGGGGGGATCTGGTGGCCGTCTACAAACTAGTCCGAGGGGACCGGCAGGCATTGAGGGAGTCCCTGTTCCCCCGAGCACTACCAGGAGTGACAAGAAATGATGGTCACAAGCTGGCAGAGGGGAGATTCAGACTAGACATCGGGAGGCGTGACTTCACAGTCAGGGTGGCTAGGATCTGGAACCAACTTCCAAGAGAAGTGGTGCTGGCTCCTACCCTGGGGGTCTTTAGAGGAGGTTAGACGAACACCTTGCTGGGGTCGTTTGACCCCAGTACTTTTTCCTGCCGTGGCAGGGGATTGGACTTGATGATCTGCTCAGGTCCCTTCCGACCCTACCGACTATGAAACAAAGTCCTAGAGCTGGGGGGCTGGCAGGGAGCTCCAGAGGTCACATCCAGTTCAGGCGCTGCCTGAGGCAGGATCCACTCTGTCCATACCAGCCCAGACAAACTCTGTGTCTGATCTCTGAGCAAGCTGAGCTGCCCTTGGCCCCAGGAAAGCAGGGGGGCTGTGGCAGCAGCAGGACATTGGCAGCCAGGTGTGGGGGTTCATGGATGCTCCGGAGAGCCCGGGCTCACCGTGGGCAGGCATGTTCTGCGTCCTCACTGCCCTTGGCCTAACTCTGAGCTCTTCTTTCCTTCCTCAGCCCTGGGGCTTTCCAGCACGTGAGTTCCTGCGCAAGAAGCTCATTGGGAAGGAGGTGTGCTTCACGGTGGAGTACAAGACCCCGCAGGGCCGGGAGTATGGCATGGTCTACCTGGGCAAAGGTGAGTTGTGGTCAGGGGGGTGCCAGCTGCTGGAGGGGCCTTGGACTCCAGCCAGGTGACAGGCTGCCCTGCTGGAGCCCAGGGGCACCATGGAGCTTGGATGAATGTGGGGCCTGGCTGAGCACTGGTATCCTGTTGTCCTCGGGTGCAGGGCGTTGTGAGGCTTTCCCAGCTGGCCTCCTGCTTGCTGTTGCTCTTGGGGCTCAGGCTGCGTGGGTCACTCGGCTCTGAGGCAGCTCCCTGCTACCAGCCTCCTGGAGCCCGAGTGTGATGCAGAAAGAACGGCTGGGATCCACGTTCAGTGATGAAAGCTCCAAGAGGCTGATCGCTTCCTAGGATAGCAGCTAGTGGGTCTGCAGAGCTATCGGCCTGGCTCGGCGAGACCACTGAGGCAACAGTGCATGATGCATTAGGTACACTGAGGTCCCCTAAATTGCTACCAACAGTGGAGTCTCAACTTCTGTATCGATAGCTGAGATACCTGCGCTCCATGCTAATTCTTACCTCTCTCTGTGAAGATGTCCCTTCTTATTGGTTTCTGCCAAGCCCAGATGTCTGTGGCTCATCCCTTGCCAACAGCAGTTCTCCTTCCCCGCCCCCCTCCCATAGCAAGTTTGGGCTTTTCTAGCTCACCCCTTACTGACTTTGAGTATTTTCAGCTGACCCCAGGCTATGTCCAGCTTCATAGAATCAGACAATGAGGGTTGGAAGTGAGCTCAGGAGGTCGCATCTAGTCCAACCCACTGTTCAAAACAGGACCAGCCACAACTGTTTCATCCCAGATGAGGCTTTGTCTAGCCAGGTCTTCAAAACCCCTAAGGATGAAGACTCTTCCACCTCTGGGGAGCCTGTTCCAGTGCTTCACCACCCTCCTAGTGAGAGGCGTTTTTCTAATATCCAACCTGAACCTCCCTTGCTGCAGCCTAAGCCCATTGCTCCTTGTCCTGTCATCTGCCCCCACTGAGCCCAGCCCAGCTCCATCCTCTTTGCAGCCCTCCTGCAGGGAGGTGAAGGCTGCTATTCATTCCTCCTCAGTCTCCTCTTCTGCAGACTAAATCAGCCCAGTTCCCTCTGCCTCTCAAGTCATGTGCCCCAGTCCTCCACCAGATTCTCTCCAGCTCGCTTCTAGTTGTCATCCCTACTTGACTAGAGTTCCGTCTTTTTTACTCCTCAACTTGTTCAGCTCCTGGTTCTTGCTTTGAGCTTTCTTGCTCACTGTATCTCATCCTGCAGGCAATGAAGCCTGGTACTCCCACAGTCCGTTGTAGTGTCTTAGCTTAACTACAGCTTGGCATAGCTATGTCCTAGCACAACCAAAAAAGGGGGAGAAGGTGGGGGCAAGTTCTGCTTCCTTTACAGGAGCTTCAGGGAGTGTGTCATACTTTGGGCTGCTTCAGGTCGCGCGGCTTACTGGATTCTCATGGATTTCCTATGGCAGCCTTATTGTTACGAATCTTGTGGCTGAAGTCGGTTGAGACGAGTGCAGGCCAGAATGAGGCAGGCGGCCAGCTTTTTTGCTCTAGAGGCAAAACCCCTATAGACTGGACCTTTCCTGTCCTGCTTCAACCTTTTGGGCTGGGATAGTGACTTCTTGCATGTCGGACTAGCCTCCAGCAAAGTGGGATGGGCTCCTGCTATGTGCTATCCTGATCCCAATTGGCATACAGGCAGCTGAGTGTCTTATTACTTCTCCGGGACTTGGGACAAGCTTCTGCAGTAGGACTGGCCACATTGCTAGGGGCTCTGCTAGTTGCCTTGCACCCATGTTCCACGTCAGACTGCAGAGGCTTTATTGCTTCCTGTGCTCCTGTCCTGCTCGAAGGGGATGGGCCCTCAGCCCCAGGTCACTGGGGTGTGCCCATCTCTAGGACATGGCTCCTGAGCCCTGATGGTTGTTGGGACACAGTTGGGTACACTACAGCTCTTACCCCATGCAGCAAACTGGCTGAACTGGGGCAAGAAGTTGGTTGAAGGGAGAGCTCATAGCATCTAGCTGCTGCTGGCCTGCAAGGCTCTTGCTGTGTGAAGGATCCACATCAATGCAGGGCAAAGGTGGCTCTCCAGAAGGCAGAGCCTCACTGACCAGAGCAAAAAGGGAACTAGAAAATAACAGTCCCTGCTTCCTAACACATTGGTGTCTCTTGGCTGGCCTGAGCAGGTGGTTTTGTTTTGTTAAACAATCTGCCCTTAGGGAGGTCCATGCAAACGCCCTGCCTCGTTCCTTGGTGCAGCACAGCTAGCCCACAGTGCAATGCCCCAAGGGAGCCCGGGAGCCACAGGTCTGACAGGTACTGTGCTGCAAGGTGGTGGGGAGCCCCTGCCTGGGTGCAGGGGGCACTCGGCGCGCTCTTGCATGGCTCTTAGAAGCTGGCCAGCCCTGGCCTACAAAACCTGTTGCTGCCTGAACAGAACCTGGTGCAATATTTGAAGCTGCCAGATGGGGGCAAAGCTGCTGCAGAGCTGGGAAAGGGTCTGAGCTAGAGGGGCACCTCAGGTAGCCATGAACAGGGCATGCATTTAGCTGCTGTAAGAATCGTAGAAAATGTGGGCTGAAGGGAGCTCAGGAGGTTGCATCTAGTCCAGCCCCCTGCTCCAAGCAGGACCAGCCCCAACTACATCATCCCAGCCAAGGCTTTGTCTACCTGGGTCTCACACCTCCAAGGATGGAGACTCCTCCACCTCTCTGGGGAACCTGTTCCAGTGCTTCACCACCCTCCGAGTGAGTTGTTTTGTGTTTTTTTTTTTTTTTTTTTTTTTTTCCCCAATATCCAACCGCAACGTCCCTTGCTGCAGCTTGAGCCCATTGCTCCTTGTCCTGTCATCTCTCACTGCTGAGATCAGTCCAGCTCCTCCATCCTCCTTGGGGCCAGTGAGGGGTTTGGGGCTCTGAAGGGGATGGGGAGGTGCACGAGTGTCTTCGGTCACCCCCTTGCCTTTTTGCTTGGGGGTTGGATCACTAATGCAGCAGGCATCTTCTACGGCCAGGGGACCAGAGGGGGCTGGGGGCCCAATCCTGTTGGTGGGGCTCTGGATTTGGAGGTGTGCTGGGGCTCCCCGTGGGACTAGATTGGGAAGCAGTGAGCCCATTTGCAGCAGAGTCATGTCAAGGAATGCATCGCCCAGGACCCTGCTCTTCCTGGTGATCTGCTTGTAATCGGCTCTGCGGCAGGAGATGAAAGCAGAAAGAAGCTTCCTGGGAACATGTGGCTTCTGGCTTCATGCCACCTGCCCCTTGGTGCCTGTCTGCCCCCTCCACACCTTTCCCCTCTTCCCTTTTTATGCATTGCTCCTTCCATGCTTCCCTTTGCTTTGGCCCCTTTGTCCCTGGCTACAGCTGCTCTGGTCCACATGGGTTACTTCCCCCAGCCCTGCCCATGGACTTGAATCACTGCCTACCTCCTCCCCTTTTAAAGCTCTGGGAGCTGAGATAGCCTGGGTAGCTTGCTGGCTTGCAGAGGTTGTTGGGGAAAGAGGCTGCCTCTCA